AAAAAAAAAAAGAAAATTAATTTTTACTGTTTCTTAATGAGAATTCCAAGACACCCCCCCCATCTACAATCATCTAACGAAGAACATAAACAATTAGTGGAAGAGTTTGGTGCTACTGTCCAGATTGACACTAGGACATTAACAGTTCTACTTTCCAATGATTTTACATTATCTATTTATTTATTTGGTACAGGATCTCACTACATAGCTTGGACTCGTAGTGATTCTCCTGTCTCAGCCTCCTCAGCACTGGGATCACAGGTGTGGACCACTATGCCCTGATTCAGTGGCTGGCACAGCATGCCAGGGATTCCAGGGCCAGCTTAGCATGTGGTACTTGGGGACCAAACCTGGATCGTTGCACTTGCCAGGCAGGCGCTTAGACTTCTGAGCTATCTCCCCAGCCCACTGCTTTTACATTATCAATGCAAATGCTTATGCAATAAAAAGGAAATATTCTTAGTAGTACAAAAATTCTTTTGACTTTGTAGACTTTTTCTTTTTTTGGTGGAAATGGGGATTGAACTCAGGGCCTTGCGCTTGCCAGGGACATGCTCATCTCCCCAGCCCCAGACTCTTAAGTATTTGAGAACCAATGATCTAGATCAATAATGGTGAACCTGTTAATGCCCAACCCACAACTCAAAACCCACTTGTTTAGCACAAAGTACCAACGTTGCAGTTAAACCTTATAATTGAGGTTTAAATTTAGAAAACCTCATACATGAACATCTTTTGTCTTAAGAGAAACAACACATATGCCACAGGTTTGCCACAACTGCTCTATATCTAGAGTCACCACAGTATGGAAGAGCTAGACTATTTAACCTGAGGAAAAACTCAAGTATTGTTTTCAAGTGGAAATATGATAGCTTCACTTCCTTTTCTTGACTTAAGCAACCTATAATTCTTGGCTCTGCTTCGCAGAATCACACACATGTTCTCTGAAGAACCTATCTGCCACAGATTTGGAAGCAAGAGAAAACATTTACAGCAGTTAGAAGCAAATGTAGTGGGGTATAGTGGCACACATCTGTAATCCAGCACTTGGGAGACTGAGGCAGAAGGGTCACAAAATTCAAGCCTATCCCGGGCAATTTAGTGAAAGCCTGACTCAAAAAATAAAAATGTTGGAGTTGTTGCTCAGTGTTAAGACTACCCCTGGATTCCATCCCCAGTAATAAAATAAAAAAAATACTCAGGTCCAAGGACTCATGTGAAAGGGGAGGGTAAAGCTGGACATGGCTGTACACACCTGTAATCTCAGCACTTGAGAGGCTGAGGAAGGAGGACTGCTTCAGGTTCAAGGCCAGCCTGAGCTACATAGTAAGATCAAGGCCAGGCTAAAATGTATAGTGAGACCCTGTCTCAAAAAATTAAAACAGAAAGGAAGGTGTAATTTCTGGAAAATAAATACAATTACTTAAGGAATGCCAATTTAAAATACTGAAGGGGCTGGGGAAATAGCTTGGCAATCTAAGCGCCTGCCTGGCAAGTACAAGGACCCAGTTTGATACCTGGTACCTTATGCCGTCCCAGGCACACCATGCTGGCCACTGAAACTGGGCATGGCGGCGCTCGCCTGTAATCCCAGTGCTGGGGAGGCTGACACGAGTATCACTACAAGTCCTAGCTGTGTAGCAAGACCTCATACCAAATAAATAAACAAACAGATTAAAAAACTATAAAATTATGAAACTGAACATAGAGAATCATCTTTTTTAGGCAGTAGTACTATATAGAGTGAACTGAGGGCCTTCATACTGAGCTTGTTCCTGCTCTTTTTAAAAAAAATTTGAGGACTGGCCAGACCAGGTTCAATCCCCAGCATTCCAGGCAGAGCAGAGCCGGCCCCACCACCGGGGTGTGCTGAGGCTGTGACTAAGACTAGGTGTGATCCCAGTGCTTGGCAGACTAAAAACAGGAGAATCACTATGCATCCAATCTGTGTAGTGAGACCCTGTACTAAATACATTAAAAAAACAAACAAACAAAAAAAACTGATACCAATTCTAAGTTGCCCAAGCTGTTTGAATATTCAACCCTCCTGCCTCACTCTCTGAATACTAGAAATTACAGAAATGCACCACTACCTATGTATGATTCATTTTTTAATAACATGAACTATGAAAGCCTCATGGAATTCCTAGCCCAACCATTTAGTATTGAGTTCCAAGATCCCAAGTGCAAGTATTTTTATGACATGAGTATACAAATACTGGGAAAACCTAAATGTAATCTGAAGAAAACCATACCAACTTGAAAAAGAATCAACTTCAGCAAGAAGCCTCATACCTCTGAATGATCAATGGGAGGAAGAGGATCAATTATTTTTTTGGAGGGTGCAATTGGATTTCCATCGCTGTCATATTCCAGATTGTCTTCTTCTTCCTCCTGAACCACACCAGCAGTTGGGTTTTCTGCCATGTATCGAAAATAAGCTTCCTGCAGGAAAGCACAAGAGCATAATTATACCCAAGTACAGCTGAAAACATTTCTACTCTTGTAAGCAGTGTATCAGAAGACTGTACAGTTTAAAAACCTACCAACTAAGGCTAGACTTTTACTAGCAATAATTCCTTTACAATATCAGTATTCAGAAGGACAATCCCAAGAAATGAGTACTATGAAATGATTTAATTTGTCTAACAAAGGATTTATAAATCTGCCTATTCCACAGTCCTCCTTGGGGTGTGATGGGGGACTCTACCTATCCTGCCCAAGGCTGGAAAACCTGTAGATTTACCTGTAGATTTAATCTGAGTTTGCAAGTTGACACTTATTAGAAAGGTCACAAACCTGGAATGGGCTACCAGTTTCTCACCATTCCACAACTGAACAATGGAAAAAAATACTAACAGTCATTAACGTTTGATCTTCAGAAAAAGAATCACAAACAGAACCTTTACAAAAAGGTAGAGGTTAAATGCAGCTAGAAGCCATCAGTAGATTCCACACTACTGATTTATCAGAATAAATGTTAATTTTGGATTTAGAAAAAGCAAAGTGAATAAAGCTTGTCTTTGTATTTGATGTCATCTGGTCAAACATTCCATCTTCAACATGGGGGAAAGCCGTGTGAATCTTAATATTACATTGGTAATGCAGGGAGAAAAGGAACAAGTCAAATGACATTTCTGCTAAATGTCAGGAATGGCCATTTCAGTGAAGGCAAGCTCTAGCCTGTCCCCAGTATATAGACTTTGTAGGGTGAAAATAAAAGAAATACTGCATAAGAACTCACTTGGTCATCTTCCTCTTCAATGTCATCTCGAATACCCCTGGAAAAACAAGCGGAGAAACAAACTTCCCTGCAAATGTTCCACATACCCAGCTCCATACTTACAGCAGATTAGTGTTGAATTCCGTACACCACAGAACTGTCAACACTAATAACAGCAAAGCAGCAATAAGCACACTGTAAACTATTCACTCATCTCTGATGTGTGGCTTCATTCTATGGACTACACTTTGCATTTCTTTCTCTCTCCCTCTTTTTAATATATTTGGTACAGGGTCTACTTTGCATTTCTTTTGAATGAAGATGACAGAAAAATCAATTACTAACACTGATATAGAATAAAAACTTTCTAAAGATACCAAAGAATTCTAAGCCTTGTCAACTCGTACAACATACAAAATGTGGTTATGCAATTTCATATTATAAGAAAAAAAATTTCTATTTAACATACACTAAAGAAAATGTCTTAAGTTCTTTATTGTGCCAAGTTTCTAGCTCTGCAATACCTGTTTTAAGACAAAATCAGTTACCTTCAGGAGGGAGACAGAAAAACTACATAAGCCTATTTATGAGTATGGAACTAAAACTCCTAAGCAGTTCACATGGAGAAGGAAATCACTGCCACCTGCTGCTTCTGTCAGGAGTTAAAGAAAGTATGGGTGCTTAGTTCCCACAACCATCCGGTTTTACTCAAACCTGCCACTTAACGTAGAGAACTTGCTACTCCTAAAGCAAACAGTAAGCAACATCACCAGCATAAGGTAACTGGAAGAGGATACAACACAGGTAAGCGCCAGAAGTGGGCTGAACCTCATATAGCACAAGAACCTTGGGAAGGGCTTAAAGCACTGACTGCCAAGTAAAGGGAGAGAAAAGTCTAACCTTGTCTGGTAGAAAAACCTTATACATATGTTCAGCAAGGGAAAAGGTAACTTCTCTTTCCCAGAAAATAAAGTACTTGAGATTTGATTATGGTTGCTAAAGCATGGTATCACTCTCTAAAAGACAGTAGGTTTATATACATAGTTTTATAATATCACCATTACTTCTCAGTCACGCAAGCATTGATCTATATTTTGTATTATGAGACAAAACTCAATACAATGGACCCAAACTTTAGTAATTATGCTTTCCTAACCCTAGGCTAATTTATGTTTACTCAACAGTTGAAGATCAAATGCTATTCTGTCAGAACAGAATGTCTTTTAATTACTACAAACACAAAGACTTTTGTCATTTCTGTACCTACAGAACTATTCAAGGTACAAGGACATCACAAAGCAAAGGTATTTATACACTTAATTTTTTTTTCCTGTAAAATTGGGAGGAATAGGGTTTTTAACACTTTAAATATTTTTCATATAACTTTTGTAAAGAGAGAAGAAAACAACTTACTTTACGTTTTTTCTTTCCTTGTCCTTTTCTTCAAGTCTTTTCATGTCTCTAGCTGCCTGATCCTAATGAAACAAAAGACTATATGAAATTTCATTAACTAAAAACACTTAAAGAGAAATTTCTTTAAAAAGAATTTTAGGGGGCCGGGGAGATGGCTCAGTAGAATAAACGTTTCCCTGGCAAGTGCAAGGGCCTGAGTTCAATCCTCGGTTTCGCATTTAAAAGAAAAAGAATTTTAGGGTTGGTAAAGTGTCCTCACAGTTTAGCTATGGATTTTGTTCTTGTTGTTTTGCAGTACTCAGAAGGAAAACCCAACCAACCCAGCTAGGCCCTTGCACATGCTATACAAGCACTCTATCACTGTGCTATACTCCCAGCTCATTGGAGTCCGAGGGGTCTTCTTAGATTTCAAGTCTGAGAATGAACTTGCAATCCTCCTGTGTCAGCCTCCTGAATAGCTGGAACTATAGGAATGTGCCACTGTGCCCAGCTAAGTGTTTTATTTTGGTCTTTTTGAGACAGGGTATCACTATGAAGTTAAGGCTGGTCTTGAACTCACTTTGTAGCCCAGGCTGGCCTCAAACTTGCAGCAATCCTATCTCAGCCTCTCAAATCCTGGGATTATAGGCATGTTCTATCACCCTTGGCCCTAGTTTTATGTTCTGATCTACATAACAGTAATGCACATAAGAGTTATGTCAATGAAAACAGTCATCAAGTTGGAGGTTGTTCCGTTTCTTTGTTCTTCCCCCTCCTCCTGTATTTTAGGGAAGGGTCTACAGGGTGTTCAGGGTCTTACTACTAGATCAGACTTGTAGTGATCTGCCTGTTTACAGCCTCCCAAGAGCTGGGATTACAGGTGTGGGCCACCATGCCCAGTCTCAACTGCTGTCTCAGCATGCCCTGGGGACCGGGCCGGCAAGGCAGGCTCAGGGATCAAACCACTGGCCCCTGTGCCTGCTTACAGGAGCTTTAATCCACTGAGCTATTTGCCCGGCCCTCTTTGTTCTTAATATTATAATGTACACACTATATTCAATTCCTTACTTAGTGACCAATTCAGTTAATAACCTAGTCACAGAACCATAATAATCAAGCTGCATGTTGATAATTATTTCTCAAAGAAAAAATACTCAAATGTGCTAGATTGGCTACATATGGGTTGAATGACTTGTATCTGTAAGTATACTACCCAGGCAAAAAATTTAACAACAATGCTTAACTCACAAATATACATTAAAAAGTTAATCATTACAGCTCTGGAAAGGTAATTTTCAATCTGAGTAATGCTGCACATAGACATAAGGCAAAATCTGGAAACATTTCTGCTTATCACAACTTCAGGAGTCATGAAGGTGAAGCCTCTGGCTGGTAGAAGCCAGGGTTGCTAACTCAACATTCTCCAATGCACAGGATCATTCCCACAAAAGGATTATTAAATCCCAAATATTAATATAAAGCTTTGGATTGTAATTAACTTATTTCAAGTGTTTTACATGAGAAGCAAACATTTCTAATAAATTTTAACTTGATAAATGTGCGATGTCTTGCAATCAAAGAAGTGATGTGATGCCAAATGTCACATGATCACATCTGAGCCAATGGTTCTCTCTCTCCAGGATTATGGGTGATTATCTTGCAACAGAAGAGTTTAAGGAGGAGATTGCTTCAGCAGAGGAGGAGAAAAAGATGGAAGAAAATCCCTCATTTCAAAGGAGATTAGGGAGATGTAGAAATTGTAGGAAGTCATACAAATCAGGCTGTAGGAGCTGAAGCTACAAATCTGTTTAATGATAATGAAACAGCACATTTCCACGCAACCCTGAAAAGAAGGCAAAAGTGTCACTGTAGAGACTCCTTGTTAGAGTTGCATGACAGAGAAGACTCCACTGAACAAATTGTTAGTAGTGATTCCATTCTACATAGAACCCTTTTTTCTCATCTCCCTCACACCAGCCAGGAAGGACTTCAAAGGTAACTGCAGGCTAATTTGTATTTCTTTTTATTTTGCATTTTCTCATTATTTTGTATTTTATCATAGCTCTAAAATCATTTTACATGAGTATTTTTGGGTTGTGGAAAGAATCATCTGAGTTCCCTTATTTTTTTTAATGGGGAAATTTCCTTTGGTATACAAGTGCTTTGGATGTTCCTGGAACAAATTATGCTCACAAACCAAGGTTTCATTATAATCCTGAGGTTGAAAACTGCTCTAGTTCTACTAACCAGAATTGTTAACATAGTTCTTATATTTTCCAAAGTTAATCCTTGTGTGTGGTCAACTGATTTAAATTGATCCTGTTTTATTTTTAAAATCTCTGTCTGTCTCTGTCATCTCTCTCTGTCTCTCTGTGTGTCTGTCCTGTCCTGTCCTATCCCGTCCATCTCTCCTTCTCTAGTGCCATCATGCCCGGCTTTGGTGGCTGGCTTGGCCCAGGGCCAGTGAGATCAAACCAGGGTCCTCGTGCTTCCCAGGCAGGAGCCCTAGACTACCAAGCTGTCTCCCTGACTTGATCCTTTGTTTTATATCGAAGAAAATCAGTTATCAGAAAAATTATATAATTTTCCCAAGATTTTATCTACCTTTGACATTTAACAATTATTATTATTACTACTACCTGAAACAGGGTCTCATTCAGTAACTAAATTGCCCAGTCTGGCCTTCTCCTTGTGCTCATCAGGCCTCAGCCCCCCAGAATGCTGGGATCATAGGTGTGTATCCCCATATGCTGCTTTGTTTGGTTTCTTTTTTGTACCAGGAATCAAACTCAAGACCTTACGCTTGCCAGGCAGGTGTTTGTTCCACTGAGCTATATCCCCAGCCCTGCTAGATGTTGTAAAATGCCACTATATAAACCATGGCATGATCAGATGCTCTATTTGAGTTGGATGTTCCTGAGAAAGATGAATTATTTTAAAAAGAAGTAGTATATTATATACAAACTACTTCAAAGGGATTGAGTACATTAGACAGTAAACTAATCATTGGTATAAACAATGTCACATATGAAATAGGTCACTATGCTTGTAGAACATGTGTTTTAAGCCTATTTATCTTTTTTTAAAGAATAAAAATAAATTTTCACCTCATCCAAACACTAGGAAAATATAAACTTTTCAGAAAACCTGACTACTGAGATTAGGAATAAATGCAAATTTTTAAATCATTTGGCATATTTTTCACATTTAACATCTACCAAAAAGTACATTTTTGACACTGTATCAAAAAGATATTCAGAAGAATAATAACTGCACTATAAAAGACTTACTTTCCAAACTTCCACTACTTAAAAGCTAAGCAAGGGCTGGGGAGATAGCTCAGTAGAATAAGTGTTTGCCTGACAAGCTCAAGGTCGTGAGTTCAACCCCCAGTACCACAAGAAAAAAAGAAAAAAAAAGCTAAGCAAGAGAATTTGGGCCATTCTTGGATACTCTCACTAAAAAATTGTCAACTTTGCTATTAAAAATTAAATCTAAATTTAAACCTAGAAAATCAAGAACTGATTTTTTTTTTCTTTAAAATTCATCACTGGGGGCCAGGGAGATAGCTCAGTGGAATAAGTGCTTGCCTGGCAAGTGCAAAGTCCTGCATTTGATCCCTGGTACCACCAAAAAATAAAAAATAAAAGTAAATAAATAAATCTATCACTAGAAACATCAAGAAATAATGAGATTTTCTGTGAAACAAAACTCTGGGAAATGTCCGTCCTAAAGATAAAATCACACCCTGTACAAGATACTTCAAACATGGTAAATCATTTACGGCCTTTACTTTTGGAGTAAATCATGTAACATATTTACTAAATTGCTACTAAGCTGCAAGACATGTGTATGACCTAAATAATTTTTGTGTCTTGAATAATCTGGTAAAAGGCAGGAACACAGTACTAAAAGAACGTAACATACAGAATACAGCATAAAGAACATAAAGAATACGGTTGCAGTGGTAAATTCTCCTTGTTACCTATAAAGTATATGCAGAAGGAGAATTATTATATGCATTTTTTTTTTCTTTTTTTTTTGGTACCAGGGATTTAATTCAGGACGCTGTGCTTGCCAGACAGATGCATAAGCTGCTGAGCTATCTCCCCGGCCCTAAAGTATATGTTTTCTCAGCAAGTAATGTAAATTGAATTAAATCAAAAGAAACTCAAGTAGGTAGGGGTGCCATGCTAGTAATAAATGAATAAAGCCAGAGTAAGAAAAAAATGTATTCTTCTGACATAAAGCTCCTGCCCCACAAGTGGTATGGGATTAAACTTTGGGCTTTGTATATCCCTGGAAGTTCTTTACTGCTGAGGTTCACACTTAGCCACACAAACTTGTGCTTGTGCTTCAGCAAGTGGGCATACTCGTCTAAAGAAATATCTCATTTTTACTGTACTGCTCTGGTTGTTTCTTTTTCTGACATGGATATAGACGAGTTCAGAAAAATCCTTCTCCACTGAAAGAAAAATTACAAAGCAAATGTGACAATACACAAATCTAGGGCTGGCCTGATAGCTCAGTGGGCTAAAGCACCTGCTTAGGCAGAGTGCAGCAACCGGGGTTTGATCCCTGGCGATCCCCAGCATGTGGTGCTGACCTGCCCACAGGGCAAGCTGAGACAGTGATGGAGACGGTGTGGTGGCACACGCTTGTAATCCCAGCACTTGGGAGGCTGAAAACAGGAGAATCACTATGAGTCTGATCTACACAGTGAGACCCTGTCCTAAATAGAGGGGGAAAAAAAAAAAAAGATGAAAAATACACAAGTCTAACAGTGCCCTATATATATAAAAAAAACAGGAGTTAATGTAAGAAAAATGTATGCATTATTTAAAGCAGGCTGCCTCTTGATCAGTAATTGCTTATTTTTGCTACACAAGATTGCAGCCCAAAGGGCTGGGAAGGTAGCTCTGCGGTCTAAGTAACTGCCTGGCAAGTGCAAGGATTCATGTTCAATCCCCAGTACCATATGCTGTGCTTGCCCTGGAACCTTGGGCACGTTGTGCAGGCCACCAAGACTGGGCATGGTGGTGCATGCCTGTAATCCCAGCACTGGGGAGGCTGAAACAGGAGA